AGCCGATGATCTCCTGGACAAAAGGCCAGTGGCGCCGAGACGAAAGGAGGTCCTCACAGAAGTTCAGGGGTGCTGCCGTAGAGAACGTTGGTAAAAGTTTACCGTCTCAAATCTCTGCGCCAGCTTCCATGCGATGAGGTTCCCGGACCCAATGCACCAAAAATGTTACCGGAGGAATAACAGGAACAAACCTCAGAAGCCACACAAGTCTTCAGGAAGTAAGAGGCCTTTATTCACGTATCGATCGGGTCTCAGATGGACTAATGTTCCACAACAGATCTGAGCCCAGAACACATGGAGTACATTCCTTATATAGCAATATAGCTCCTCCCATAAATAGCTACACCCACACATACCTTTAACCAATCAATGAACAGAGCCTGGACTTGCTCATCCGGTCAGACCACATGGCTCATCCGAAACAAAGGAGAAAGGAGTGTGATTTCAGTTCTTACATTCCTGCACATGCTCAGTACATTGATGACAGTATCTTAGCTACATGTAACTAACTAGCAGATACAACAAACACCTGTACTTGTACATGCCACATGGAGATTTCAGGCCTACAAAATTTTGAACCATGTTGAAATCCCATCATAACAGCTCTTTGCTCTCTCTAACTCCTGCTAGACCCGCGGCTGTCAGAGCGTTGCCATGGTAACCCAAAGAGCTGTAACATTCAGATGCAGTCTGCTGGGCCCCGTCTGCAAGTATAGGGAGCCGAAGGCCCCACCATGCCACCGGACCACCAGGCAATGGAATCTCCCCCCTCCATGGACCAGGTAAGAAGCAGGGAGGGGGGAATAACATTTATCACATTTAATGTGCTGGGCTCCTGGCTGTGTGGGATAGTTATGGATATCTCCTTATTGTGCCCAACTCTGTGTACTGTATATCTGTATTGTCTGCTCTGTCTTTTGTATAGTTATCTCTGTATTGTACCCAGCTCTGTGTATTGTAAATATATATCTGTATTGTATCTACCTAGCTATGTCTATTTTATGGATATGGTATTTTTGGATTGTATTGCTCTGTACCATTAGGAGTTGAGTACAAGAGGTTAAAGGGGCACTATAGTCACCAGAACACCTACAGCTTATTGAATTTGTTCTGGTGATTAGAATAATTACCTTCAGGCTTTTTGCTGTAAACATTGTCTTTTCTGAGAAATTGCTGTTTTTCTCTGGATCAGCAGTCAAGTATCTCCCTGGACTGAAAAGGAAGGCAGGGCATGACTGCAGGCCAGCAGTAAGGAGGGGTGGCTATACTGGATACTTTGTTGCAATATGGAATATAAAGCAGGACAGAGGAGGGGCCTTACCAGTTGCTCAATAAATTTAGGATTGAGAACTTGCTAATTTCCCACCCACCCTCCCTATGGTGTTTTTTGACTGTGTATTGCGTTTGTTTTGGTATGTTTCTTGGTTCTGGTTTGTTCTTTCTTCTCGTTGTCACAGCTGCAGCGGTGTTCCTGGCCATCGCATTGAAAATTGAATTAAATGGATGAGTCAACTTGGGGAGTCGCAGCCTGCCGAGGGCTGATGGCGGTAGGCAGGCTGATATGAACTCATGGACAAATAAGTGGTATCTGCCTGTTGGGAGAAGTCTCTCAACAGCTGGCAGTTGGATGGAAAGCTGGTCTGTGTCAAATAATTAACTAAGCTGTGGCCGTTGCCCTTACCCATAACTCTGGTGTAGTGTTATTATTTACGGAGGGCAATGGGGGGTTTGGGGGGAGGGTTTCTCTGGATCAGCAGTCAAGATAGCTGTTAGAGATCCTTCCTGGGTCATGGCTGCCTAAAATGCATCCAAACATTCAGTATCTCCTGAACTTTCCTCATAGAGATTCATTGATTCAATTCATCTCTATGAGGAGATGCTGATTGGCCAGGGCTGTGTTTGAATCATGCTGGCTCTGCCCCTGATTTGCCTCCTTGTCAGTCTCAGCCAATCCTATGGGGAAGCATTGTGATTGGATCAGGCTACCACTTCTGATTTTCTGAGTCTAACAGCATGCAGAATTACAGCTTCAGGCTTGAATACAGTAAGATTTTTACTATATTTATGGAGGCATGAGGGGCTTAGGGGGGCTAGATGGTGGTTTTAACACTATAGGGTCAGGAATACATGTTTGTGTTCCTGCCCCTATAGTGATCCTTTAAGCAAAAAAGCCCATAGGTCAGAAATAACATTAATAATACCATAAAAAGTATTTACTGGAAATGTCATTAAGATAGACATTTGTGTAATATTAATTGTAATCTTGTTTGGATAATCAGGAGTAATACAAACACAATATACAAATTGCAGACATATTTGCTGAACCATCCAAATAAAATATTTTAAGATGTATAAGGGGATCTATTCAACACTAATCTGCACAATTCTAACCTGAGATACTAAATATAAATGGCAGAGCAGAGGAACAGTCTGCCCCACAGTGTGATAACATTACAACAGACTACCATCATACTCATTTAGAAAGAAAAATCGTTTCAGAAGATTTGTAGTCTCTTAAATAAACAGTATTATCTTACAAATGTATGTTCCTGACACTAACGTTTTAAAATAACAGTTTACCTCGGTTAAAAAAGTGAGTTTAAAAAAGGCAGTGTTTACATTAAAAAGCCTGCAGGGACAGGCAGTAGACACCAGAACAACTACACTAAGCTGTGGTTGTTATAGTGACTATAGTGTCCATTGAAATTTAATAGAAGTGCACTACACCTCTGTATTCTATGGGAGCAACAAAGGAAGAGGACAATAAAATTGTTGGGAGGAGGTTTGACAGTGCTGTAAATCCAATAAAACATGTATTAAAATACTTTATTGTTTTGCACACATTATGGTAATTAATTACTAGTTTTTCCAGTTTGTCAGAACTAGTGTTATATACCTAACCATCTCTAACATATGGTTGTGACTGTATGCATTAGTATTATACACATACCTAGGGGGACAATGTGAGCCCCATAACATTGCATCCATTTTCCTGTGCATAAGAACTGCAGCAATTTGCATAATCATTCACTCCAAACCTGATATTAAAGGAGGAATTTTACTTTTTTGCTTTCTCCTTTGCCATTCAAGATGTACGTACTGAGTCTGGCATACACCATGCCTGTCCCACCAACGTGGCTCCACCACAGAGCTTGAGCCACAGAGGTTGCTGGTGATTGCTATGAATAGCCCTATTCACAAAACTATGAATGGCATTCTTAACAAACATGCTATGACTGTCATAAGATTACTTAGGAGTTCAATTCATCAAATCTGAGTGAGGATTCATGATGTTAAGGTGGCTGGTAGTCAGGGTGGAAACATTTATACCACCCTAGACTACATCAGTCTTTTTGGCAGACTCTATTTTTTCAATTTTTTCCATTCTACACTAGCATTTTCTGATGTCTCTCTGCCAGTCTTACACTTCACTGTGAATTCTAACTTTAGGAAATTACTCCATATGTTTGGTGAGTATACTGCAGAAAATTGTCAAATACCTCCTAGCACAGTAGGGCTATATTTAAACATGTTTTCCTGACCCTATAGTGTTAAAAACACCATCTATCCCACCTGTCCCCCCCTTGACCCCTATATATAGTAAAATCTTACTTTTACCCCAGTCTGCTGCTGCTGGCTCTCCCCCTGATCTGCCTGCTTGGCTGACATCATCAGAAATGTTATCCAAAGCCCATCACAATGATTTAACATAGGAAAGCATTGGATTGTCCAAGACTGTCAAGGAGGCAGATCAGGGGCAGAGTCAGCACAAGCCAAACACAGCCCTGGCCAATCAGCACCTCCTCATAGAGATTAATTGAATCAATGCATCTCTATGAGAAAAGTTCAGTGTCTTCATGAAGGGGGTGGAGACAGTGAATGGCAGTGCTGCACTTTGTGCAGCACTGCCCGAGGAAGCAAGTCTAACAGCCATCTGAGGAGTGGCCAGTGGAGGTATCTCTAGGCTTTAATGTAAACACTGCCTTCTCTCAAAAAAAAAAAACTGTAAAAAAAAGGAAATGATTATACTCACCAGAACAAATACAATAAGCTGTAGTTGTTCTGGTAACTATAGTGTCCCTTTAACAAAGTGAAACTGGGACATTTCTAGTGTAAAATTCAACAAGTGTACTTTTCGAAATGGGCGGGCAGTGCGTGACGTAAGCGTTTTTTTTAAATGGAAGACTGATTTTGGCACTGCAAGCGGGGCAGAACGGTGAAAGGCAGAAGGGAGGAAATTTAAAGTGAAAGAAAGAGGAAGAAGAAAGGGAGGAGGAAGAGGGAAAAAGGAGAAAAGAAGGAAGAAAAAAGAGAAGTAAGAGGAGCTTACAAGCTGGGGACAGAGAATTTAATGAAGATATACTTGTGAGTAACTTCTATCTACCTGCTATTTATCTCCATCTGCTATTTGTTGAGACAAATAAGCTATATCCATTTAAAGACACATAAAAAAAAAAAAAAAAGCTCAGAGCCTTTTTAAACAATAAAGGCTGGAGGAGATAAAATCAAAACCATAAGCCATTTAAATCAAAATCTGAAAAAGGTTAAAATAGCATAATTTGACTTAAAGAAGAAAAAAAAAAATATATATATATATATATAATATATAATCCCGATAGAAGGGAATTTAAAGGCAAAAGAGCATTATTTAAAACTAACAAACACCGTAATATATCCTCGACAGTAAAGTTTAAGTTAAAACAACGGGGCAAATATAACGAAAATCTTTATATTGAAGCCGAAGCAGTAGATCCCTCACCACATATGGCTCCTAAAAAAGAGAAAGCCTTAACCATTGAGAAGAAGAAAGCAACAATTGGCACATATTATTCACCTAAAATGGCATCTATAGAATCAGAGAGGTAACGAAAATCTTTGCCCTTAGAAAATGCAGAGTTGTCTGCCCATCAAATATCTAATTTATCAGAGGATGACTTCCCACATCTGCCAAAAATTTCACAGGGAATGACGCAACAAATATTAACCCAAATGCTGGACAACCTACATAAAAAAATAAAAAATGACATAGAACATAATACAAATGATATTAGATCGGAAATTTCCATTCTTTCTGAGAAACTCTCAAGTCAGGCAATTATAGTACAAAAAGTTCAAGACGATTATGAACATATCAAATTATCTAATGCACAATTAGAGAAGAAACTGCAAGACATTGAGAATAGAATTACAAATTTTGAAGATCGCTCCAGGAGAAACAATATTAGAGTCAGAGGCATATCTGAAACAATAACACAAGAAGACCTATATTCCTATTTGGACAGCTTCTTCTGAAATATTTTGTCCCTGCAGACACTGGGCCCTGAATCTTTTGAAAGATTTCATAGATTGCCTAAACCAAATGGAATTGATAAATCCAACCCAAGAGATGTAATAGTTTGCTTTTCGAGTTTCCGGACAAAAATCTAATAATGCAGAAAGTAAGGAATAAGATCCCGGATACCGAGGAATGGAGGCATCTAAAAATCTTTCAGGACTTATCTCAAAAGACAAGACAAGCAAGAAGAACTTTTTCAGAGGAGACGGCAATTCTTAGAAATATGGAGATACGATACAAGTGGCTGTTTACGATGGCAATTATGGTCTTTTTTAGGGACCAACCATACATTTTCAGAGACAATACGGCACTAAAAGAGAAAATGACAATTTGGAAACTTATCCCAACCTCAAATTGAAGGAAAGAAAGAAAGGGGAAAAGAAAGAAGATATAAAAAAGGGAAAAGAAGGAAGGAGAGGAAGAAAAAAAAGAAAAGAGAAAAAAGGGGAAGAAGGAAGAAAGAATATATAATATAATATTTATTTATTTATTTTTTTTTCTCTCCTGTATTGGGTAGATAAGAATGATAGGGTTTTTTTTTTAGCATGGTTTAAAAGAAAAGGGATTGCTTTAGAATTTATAGTAAACACATAGATAAGGAAAAGAAAAGGAAGTATAAGAGATAGGTTTACACTAAAATTAAGGGATAAGGAGGAAGGGTTAAAAAATTATATAATTATACACAGATGGAGTAAAAACCTTCTTAAAATATAGTTGCACTAGAAAGTGGAAAAGAATAGAGAATGAAAATGAGTATTATAACTGCACAAGTTAAAACATTTTGTAGAAAATGAATATTATAAATGCACAAAATTAAAATATTAGTTCACAAAGGGAAATTGAATAGGGAATAAGGAAAGCAAGTGAAAGATGAGAAATGGGAGGGAAGGAAAGGGGAAGAAGGAAAGAAAGGGAAAAGGAGAGTTTAATTAAATATATATATATCACTTAAATCAATATGAAATAGGTTGTCACATTATTAGAAAGGGAATGTAGAGGGGAGGGATAAGGGATAGGAAAGGGGAAGGAAAGAAAGAGGGAAAGTAGACGGGAGAATTGATTTAGAGGAGAAGATAGGAATCTTTATGAGGTGAGAAAGTTAAATGAGAAAATCGAGGATATGATAAGAAGAGAGAAGGGAGACGAAAAAGGGGGAAGAGAAAGAGAATTTAGATGAAGTTGTCTCAGATAAAGTCTGTTAATGTATAATGGTATAACTAGGGAACAATCAGTAGATAGACTGTGGAGTTAACACTGTATTTTTGAAAAACAGCAATATAGCGTCTTTGATAAAAGGAAAATAAGGCCCACTATCCTGGTTCGGGATCCTGCGACGGCAGCAGGTTTAAATATGAAGACTTTATTTAGAAGTTCTTCGTATAATGGATTGAATGTTCAAGTAGACTGTATGATGTGGAGTTTACTCAGGAGGCCAGACATTATATGGCCAAATGGGGATGGTATGAGAGGTTTTGTGAGTTGGTTGCTATTTGAGAGGTGGTCAGAGGATAGGAAGGAGTGGGGGGAGCAATGGCAAGATGTCACTTAATATATTATCTATTAATGCAAGGGGTTTAAATTCAGGACAAAAAAGAGTATATTTATACAAATTATTGATGGACAGTAAAACGGATATTGGTTTTGTCCAGGAAACACATTGGGTTAACTCTACATCTAAGCTATGGAATTATAAAAACTTTCCAGTGGTCCATAGATCTAACCTGACTGAGAAAAATAAGAAAAGAGGAGTAGCGATCTTCTTTTCAAGTAGTTTGAAGTATGAGTTTGTCCATGAGGAGGCTGACCCTGGTGGCAGGTTCTTAATAGTAATATACACAGAAAACAAGTAAAAAGTAGGCGCTCGTAATAAAATCGTCTAAAATAAAACAAAACAACCTGTTAATATAAAAAAGAGCTGCACCAAAAACAAGTGTAAAACTCCTCCAAACACTTTAGTGAATATACTTAAAAATAATAAGGTGCGCTGTGTCTTTAAGACCCAAAAATATATAAAGTGCAACTAAGTGCAAACAAATTGATAAAGTGCAAAGTGATACAAAGTGCACTTAAAGTGTAGAATATCAGTATAAAATATTATACATACATATGGCCTCTCAACTCCAAATATACATAGAAAGGAAAAGAGACATAAAAAAACCAATAGTGTGAAACCGTATTAAAATGGTAGTATGGATAATAAATGCCAAATATTGCACTCACAAAAGTAGAGCAGAATAAGCCTGCTCTAGCTTTAACAGCTTCTTCAAATGTAGGACTGCACAGACGAAAAAATATTCCAAAATCTTTCTTTAAAGCACAGCACTTTATGTTGATTTGATTGATAATGGATGGGCAGATCTGATGAAGCCATGAATACGGCGAACGCGTCATCACGTAAAGTTACGCACCTGACGTCACGCACCCGAGAAAGCTCCTCCCCCTGGAAGTTTGAGGAAACAGACGGCCAACAGACGGCAATTACGGCGGCGAATCCGCAGAGGGACAGGTCGACACCCTTATGCTGTATGCTACCGAAGGCTCTGTAACTGAATACTAAGTGTGGAGGAAGGTGATATATTGGTGCTGTGCTGGGCAAGAAAGATTTTGGAATATTTTTTCGTCTGTGCAGTCCTACATTTGAAGCATTCTTAATAGTAATAGTTTGAATCAATGACATACTGTATACTTTGGTAAATGTATATGCTCCAAACCAACTCCCTCACAGATTTTTGGAAAGTTTATTGCAAAAGGTTGACCGCGTATCGTCTGGTAGCTTGATTATTGGAGGGGATTTTAACTGCATTATAGATTCCAAGGTAGATAGGAATAGAACTAAGCCTGCAAATAAAGATGATAGTCAAAAAATTGGATCATTAATGATGCAGACCTTATTAGCAAAGAACTGTTTGTATGACTGCTGGAGAACATCAAATCCAGAAGAGCGAGATTATACGTTTTATTCAAATGTCCATCAGTCATACACTAGAATTGACTACTTTCTGGTTAGGGCCGTCACCGTGGATCGAGTTAGTAAAGTTAAAATTGGACCTATAATATGGTCTGACCATGCACCAGTATGTTTAGTTATAAAAAATAATGCAGAATATAAATGCAGAGATAGATGGAGATTAAATGAAACTTTATTAAAATCGGAAAATAACATAGAAGAAATGCGTACTCAGGCTAGAGAGTTTTTTGAAACTAATGATACTGGGGATGTTACAAATGCTGTGTTGTGGTGTGCTTTTAAATCATTTATGAGAGGAGGTCTTATAAAATTGGGCGCTAATGTAAAAAAAAAGAAGGGAAAAGAGTTGAATGAGCTTAATATCGATTTGGCAAAATTGGAAAGTCTTCATAAGACTACTTTAGATTATAAAACTACTTTAGATTATAAAATTTTGGAGGATATTAAAGAGATTAGAAAAAAAATCCTAGTAAGAACTCAAGAGAAAATAAATAAAGCAATGTTAATACTAAAGCATGGATGGTATTATGGAAACAATAAAACAAGGAAAAATCTTTCAAATAAATAAAATAAAAATAAACTTCAATCTATAAAATTTATAATAGCTGGAAATAAAAAACTTTTTTCGCCAACTCAAATTGCTAATGCATTTGAAGAATATTATAAAAGTTTATATAATTTGAAACTTAATGAGCCATCCGAAGGGGAAATACAGCAGTTCTTGGACAAATTAAACCTGCCAAAGATATCTATTGAGAAATTAAGTCAACTAAATGCTCCATTCTCCATTCAGGAGATTAGTAATTCTATTAAAGCATTAACAGTGGGCAAAGCCCCAGGACCAGATGGTTTTTCATCGATATTTTATAAAAAACTGAATGATATCATTTCCCCATATATATTGAAGACATTCAATGAATTTGCTACTCATAAAGTTATTCCATCAGAAATGTTCCAGGCCTCCATAATGCCAATCCCTAAACCAGACAAGGACCCAATATATACTTCAAATTATAGACCAATTTCCCTTATTAATCTAGACATTAAAGTGTACTCTAGAATCCTGGCTGATAGACTTAAACAAAATATACCAGATATAGTACATTTAGATCAGAGTGGGTTTGTAGAAGGTAGGGGTACGTCTGATAATATCAGGAAATTAATGAATGTCCTATATCATGCAGGCCAAAGCTTGTCCCCTTTTGCCTTGGTCACCCTTGATGCCGAGAAGGCCTTCGACCGTGTTAACTGGAAATACTTGTAAGAGGTTTTGAAGGCCTTCGGCATAGAGGGTGTCTTTAAGGAGTGTACAATGGCATTATATACAGATCCCCAAGCCAGAGTTTCAGGATTTATGTTTTCAATCGAAATGGTTCCCAATTAGAAATGGGACGCGACAAGGCTGCCCTTTGGCACCCCTGTTATACATTCTCTCCATAGAGCCATTGGCAGCCGCGATTAGACAGAGTGAGGGTATCATTGGGTTAAAGGTGAATACATCGGAGAACAAAATTGCACTTTATGCAGATGATGTTCTATTGACTCTTACGGATCCTATTAGATCTATTCCAGCCGTATTTCATCTTATTAAAGAATATAGCAAAATCTCAGGCTATAAAGTAAGCATAAATAAAACACAAATTTTGTTAAAAGGTTTAGTTTGGATCGGGGAAAAAAAGCTTAAGAAGGAATTTAAATGCGATTGGGAAGCCAGGAATATAAAGTATTTAGGGGTAAGATTATTCTTGGAGTATAGAGAAATTGGAGAACTTAATTATACGGAAATTGCTACCCAATTCAGGAGTATCCTAAAAAATTGGAGAGGGTTAGAACTGTCTGGGCTGGGCAGAATCGAAGCAGTAAATTCCTATCTACTCCCTAAACTGACATTTTTATTTGGTAATCTTC